CCAGACTTTTCCCAGCTGTTCATCCTTGACACGGATGCTAGCGATATCGGCATAGGAGCCGTTTTGTCGCAACGGAAATACGGGGTCGAGCGAGTGGTGGCATACGGCAGCAGGGTTCTGTCTCCTGACCAGATGCGATATTGCGTGACGAGATGGGAACTGCTGGCAATCGAACATTTTGTTCGTCAGTACCGGCCGTACCTGTATGGAAGGACATTCCTTGTGCGCACTGACCACGCTGCCTTGCAATATTCTTTGAAATTGGAAAAACCGTCCGGTCAATTGGCTCGGTGGTTGGAATCGTTACAGGAGTTTTCCTTCAATATCACGTACCGCAAGGGTACTCACCATGGCAACGCGGACGCTCTCTCCAGGTTGCCCCCGACTCCTCCCTGAGTCTGTCTGATGGGTACGCAGCACTGTGCGGCGCTGCCTACCTCGCCCTGTCCGGTCATGGGGGCGATGTCGAACGATGATGGCCAGGATGTACCCGTTGGCGCCGACGATATGCTGCATTTGCCGCACTCGGTGTGGCTACGCGAGCAAGAGGCTGATCCCTCTCTGGCTCCACTGCGGGAACTGATCGGGAAACCGAGATCTCATTTGGCGGGATGGAAATGGCAGTTGTTTTGAGGCCAGGCGGGATTACTGATGTGTACGGATGGGTTGTCCGACCGTTCACGCCTGGTTGTGCCGACGTCCCTTCGCCACGATCTGATCTGTGCGCTGCACGCCGACAAGCTGATGCACCTCGGCGTGCAGAAAACATTAGCCGCGATGCAGCAGGATTTCTTTTGGCCTGGCATGACAGCGGATGTCACTAACTTTATCCGGTCATGTCATGATTGTGCGAAGCGGAAACCGCCACGTCAAAATTATGTCCCGCCCCTACGATCGATCGAGGTATCCCGTATAAGTGAGCTGGTTGCTCTGGATATCCTGGGCCTGTTACCTCCATCGGCTAGGGGAAATAAATACCTTTTGGTCGGGGTCGAATACTTTTCTCGCTCGCCTATGGCCTGGCCTTTGGCTGACCAAACGGCCTCATCCATCACCGAGGCTTTCTTGAATGGGTACGTCATGGATAAAGGAGCACTCGAAGGGCTGCTCACGGATCAAGGACGTAACTTCTCCTCTAAATTGCTCAAAGACGTGTACTCTGCCTTGGGTACAAAGAAAATCTGCACTTCCCCTTACCATCCGCAAACGGATGGCATGGTGGAATGATTTAACCGCACCCTTTCGGTCATGTTTTGCCACATGGTGAGTGAGAAACAAAATGATTGGGACTTAAATACCGGGCATCCTGGCGGCATACCGCATGGTTCCGCACGTGTCCACAGGATATTCGCCATTTTTCCTCATGTATGGCCGTCAGAATGTACCCCCGATTGATGTACAACTTGGTGCAGCGGGGAAGCAACCGTCCCCTTCCTTGCCTGACCACGTGCGGGACTCGCTTAAATGGGTTACGGAGGCGCGAGAGACACCCAGATGTGCGACGGCCCGTACGCAGGCAAGGAACGAGAGGTATGCGCGTCGATCGCGAACTGACATGCCTTGGTTGGTGGGCGATATGGCATGGCTCCATTGCCCTCAAGTGCCAGTGGGTACGTCCCCTAAACTGCACAAGCCTTGGCGGGGGCCTGTGAGGCTGGTGGACATTCGGAATCCCCAGAGTGTTCGCATCCAGTACGGCCAACGTCGTTGGTATGTCCATTCGTCGCAGCTCAACCCTACGTTGACCCACGTGCTGGCCCTTCATCTCCACTTGTTGACCTGCCGGGGTCTGGCATGCCGAATGTGCCACTTGCCTCGCCGATTGATCCCCAGCGGGGCTGTGTTATACCCCCCGCAGATGAACAGGTTTTGAAGGATGACGAGACCCCAGACGTTCCACCTCCAACGGGGCCTGTCCCAGACACAACGGAAACCGAAAATTCTTCTTCTTCTCCACGGCAACCACCTCCTGCTGAACAGTCGGTGAGGCAACCACGCGTTAAGGGAGGAGAGGGTCCGGCGTCGCCTACGCGGTCGAAGTCTCTCCCATTTCGCTAATATTGTTTTCCTTGCGGTCTGTCACCCTGGTGTTTCTGCGCTACAGGGGCGCCCTAATGTATGTCTGTTATTTTAATGTTTTAATTCCTCTACGCGTTGGCGCCTACTCCCCTTACCTTGTTAATGCGTCATGGACGCCCTAAGATGTTATTCAAAGGGATTCGGGCTGTCACTCCTTTCCCAGCCGAGACGGCTGACTTTTTACACCGGGGGGGGGGGGGGGGGGGTGGGGTGATGTAATGTGAGGATATATCCGGGTCGCTGACAGATCACAACTCGTCAAGATGATTGGGTCCTGGTCCATAGCCAATGGGGGGAAGCCTAGGGGCGTGGCCCTGACATAACGGGAAGGTGACATCTGTAAGTTGAGGATTGGTTCTGCTGGCTTTAGCCACAGCCAATGGGGAGACGAGTCAGAGGCGTGGTCCCGGGAGCCTACGATGGAGTCTAGAAGATTCCATAGAGGCTAACCAGGATTGGTGGAAAGGTACCACGTGACCCGGGTATTAAATAGGGGTGGAGACGAACAACACGTGGTCAGAACTGGAACGAATGGAGGGAGAGGCCACGCGAGAGTGGGGGTCCAGGCAGCCACGTGGCTGCGCGCGTCTCTCTCTCTCTCTATCCCTCTCACGCTGTCTGTCAGCAGCGTGAAGGAGTGTTGTAAAGAAAGACACATAAAGACCGGATTCCAGAAGTCGCTTCCACGACCTTTATTACATATGTATTAACATTATACATAAGAATATTGGTTTTCCCCTTTTTTTTCTGGCAACAAAACTGAAACCTTTTTACAAGGAATCATGTCTGCCTTAACCACAATACTTGGGGTCAAAATGCAAACAAAAAACACTCTGAAAATATATGCATTGTCCTTGAAACTGATTGGTCCACACCAGAGACGGATTTATTTTGAGCCTGGTCTCAATTGGTGCTAGAGTGTGTTTTTTGTTTGCATTTTGACCGCAAGTATTGTGATTAATGCAGACATGATTCTTCGTAAAAAGGTTTCAGTTTTGTTGCCAGAAAAAAAGGGGAAAACTCCTATTCTTATATATTGGTACTGGCAAAGGAGGTCTAATGATGTAAACATTATAAATGTTTTAACGATCGGGAAACAAAGGGGTGCAAGGCTGCAGTAAAGGTTAAGAACCACTGGATTAGACAAAGCAGTCGATCCCGTACATGGATAGAGAAATCAACGTAGGAAAACGAAAGCGACGCTATTCCAGACTAATTAATCATCTGTAATTGCCCAAGGTTAAAAACACATCAGTGTCGAAAGGTAGCCAATGAGGGCTCCATTGGCCAAACTGCCGCAAGGAAATAGTTGACGCACCAAAAACACGAAGCATTTATATTTTATTGTAACCAGGTGAGAAGCGGTTAAGATGAATGTTGCTAAGACGGGTCGTCTAACCGTTGTTGTGGGTAAAGCCCAAAAGTGTTCATTTGATGAACGATGCAGCCGCATAGTGATCTGCAGAAGAGCTGAGAGGAGCAAATTGTTTACTTTGCTGTCCAGAAGGAAGTTTAACATATGTGCACACTTACTTTGCTGTAACAGCAAAGTATGTCTGTATACATGTTGAACTTCTGTTGCACCGTACGGAGCCAATGTTGCTAATCGGAGGTGCGGGAATACAGCAAAGTCAAGGTGTCTCCTTGCTCAGTATCTCCAATGGGGTTCTCCGACCCAGCAGGGGAAATTCCACGTTCCCGTGGCCGAGGTCAGTCTCTCATTCTGAACGACCACCGTTGTGTGTCTATGGAAATGCACAGACACTCGCATATACTGCACTGGACAAGGGTTATCTTGTATGCTGGGCATAACAAAATAGTGCATTTTATTCACAAGAGTATTGGGAAGTGTTTCTCTTCAACTGGCGATCCTGCGCCAGTGGGAGAAGTTCCAAATTCCCATGGAGGGTTTCTGCCACTGCGTTGGACTCGTGTCGGTTACCCATTAAGAGCGGTATTTATTTTACCGACCCTAAAATAATGATGGGCTGAGCTACCGTTGACTTGGGACCAGGATATGTACTGGCATTCCTGGCACTGTCCGTCGAGTTGTCTGACATCAGCACCTGGTGAGTAAAGTGTATTCTTTGATGAATAGCAATCACATCGTCGTTAATATAAATCAATCCAACTTCATCATTCAGCTTGTTTTTTTACAATTAATGGTTATTTTAGCGAGTCTGGTAAATTACTTCCAGAAACGTCTGCTATATAGCCTAAAGGTGAATAATTACAGCTCTTTACCAATCCATATGCTGTATGCATGCTGCACTTCTTTCGCACCGTACATAGGCAGCCATGCTAATCGAAGGTGCATAACTCCATTGGCGCCCTAATATGGGAAGGAATATCGTTCCAGACGGCCGCAGAAGCGCATCTTAAAGCGTGCGATGCAGTGACCGTCTTTGTTCGATGGTTAGTCAAACGATGCTGCGAGGATGACCGGAGTTTGCGTGATGGTTTATTGCTGGATGAAGGCGTCCCCTTGCCGTGTCGTTAAACGGTGTTTGTTTGACCATACTTCACCACACTGGTTACACTCGCCTCTATTGCTGGCAGTGGACATAAATATAATTTAGGTGGCCGGGTTCAAGCCCGATGCGTGAATCACTACGCCACCGCTCCTGTATTAATTAGATTTGGGTTTTGTAATTAAAAGTATCAATTACTAATGCAGCATCATTGGCATTATTCCTGACATTTAAATAAATTCCAATTGACCTATTCAGTTCAACAAATGATTTGAAATAAAGCCGTGCATTTATTATTATTATACGACTCTTTTAAGACGCGTTAATTATGCTCCATTCTTGATTAAATCTTACTCCTGACATGCGATGACACTGTTTTAAAGGTTTAATCGTGCAAAGGTACACATTATGTATAGTCTGTAACATGCAGCAGTACGTATCATTTTATCAGCCACGCTCAATCCACTGCTGAATGGAGGCTTTCCCTGCACACGAACTGATGCCACCGCTCGGTCCGCTCCTCCGGTTCGCGCGGTTGGCTGCGTACGTTTCGAAAGAAAAGAAAAAACATGCATACAAAGACAAAGATCCCCCGTATGGCCTTAACATAATGTTGTGGCAAGTGCTGTTAGCGAGTAGCACCTTTGAAGAACATACACATTTAGACGTCCCACGACCACACTCGCACTGCATCTCTTTCATGTTTCAGTAGCTGCACTGTTATTGCGCCACGGTTAAATATCATTCGGCCCAGCCGACTTACGCTCATGTTAATTTATAGCTTGACAATTCATCAACGGCAGTGTACTATTTTCGATGCCTCATGCGATGCTGGTTTTTTTTTGCTCCCAATTTCTATTTGCCCCCATTATTGCGAAACATTTTTTTTTGCCTTTGAGTGACCCGGCTCGCTCTTTCAAATGAGACTCATCACTGGCCTTTCGATATTCGCTCCACCTGCTTGAGGCGAAATAAACTTGAAAAACTTGGTGGGGAGTCCTGACATTGAACTTAGCGCCACCCAGTGGCTGCGATTAATACAATAAAATGTTCAGTCGGACGAACGGGAAGTGTGTGCGGTGTGTGTCCCTGATGCTCTTATACTGCGAGTGGGAGCGGTGGAGCAGCGGTTAGCACGCTGCGCTACGAACCCGTAGTTCGATTCCCGCGAACGGCCCAAAAACAAGTGGCGATTATCTGCACCGGTCCTGGGCCTCCCCGAGGTCGACTCAGACTAAAATGAGTACCTGTTGCGGTGTGTTAACATCACCACTGGGAAGACAAAGGCGGCCGGGGGTGGTGTTGGCCATCCACCCCCTCGTGTGCCGTGTCGGCCTTCACAGGTGCTCGCGAACAGCACTTGCCTCACAACAGTGTGTTCAGGCTATACAGGGGATCTTTGTCTTACCGGGGTCATTCCCATAATATCACCTTTCATCTACAGTACTTCATACGCTCCGTGCGTGTGTGTAGAATACGGGACTGTTGTTGATGCTTGGTAGATGAGACGTGCGGTGAAACGAGCCAGATGCGTATGCGATGCGCAGACAACGACTGCCTGGATCATGCAGTAACATCTATAAGAGGGATTTTTTCGTTGTAAGACGCATTTATATTAATGCGATATAACCCCAAACCGCCCCCTGTGTTATGGACAATATTGGTGGCGAAAGCCTCCGAGTAAAATGCATCTCTTCAAGTAACAGACGAAGTCGTGCTATTGATCGCGTCGCGTTGTGGTGACCAATGGTCAGGAACAGTGGACGGGAGTGGCAGGCGCGCTTCCGATTATCACGGTTGGCTACGTAAGGTGCGAAAGAAGTTCGACATACAGTAACACACGTACGGAGGAGAATGGAAATCGTCTCGATAGCACACGTCCACGGAAGAGATGGAGCGATGAAAACAGGACCCTCTGCAGGCACTTGGCTGGATCTTTTTTTTTTTACATCACAGACAGGCCTTCATCCAGCCGTAGATCGAGCATAGCTGCTGGTGGTGGTGCACTGCAATATTGATAATGATCGATCATGACGGCGTGGTTTGTGCTCGTGTATGAGGCATGAGCGGAGTGTCGCGGCGCTGGTGCGGGAGGTGTAATCGCGCGCGCCAGGTGGCGCTGTGATGGGGGCACGGCTCATCATTTGGGAAGATTCATTTGCGAGTTCCAGGACCAAGGCTCGGCCCGTCGTTCTCCTCGGGATAGATACCAAAAAAAGTACCAATTTCGTGGGAAAGTCAACGGCCCTCGTTCTATGGATTGACTGGCCCCGCCGTTGGAACGTGGAACTTCCTACGCTAACTCGGCGTCATCAAAGGGACCGAATAAACGAGTGGCTTGCCCGCGCCGCAGTGCTTGTTTAGAGATGTTTTTATTGTTGTTTGTTGAGGCCCTTTAGACTTGGACGCGGATTCCACGACGAGACGCGCGTGAAACTACGGAAAAAAATAAACCCTTCCCCCCAAATAAACCGGCCTCAAATGCGTAACACGACCCCCACTCCTTCCTGTCGCCAATCCGCGAGCACCGCTCTGTTGACTCCCTCGGCCCCGTGGATGATTTGGATAATGACGACGGATGACTTGGCCTCCCGCAGGATTACGCCGGCGGCGATGATTGTTCGCTTATTATTAATGTCGAGCGTGTGGGACGCGGGGGATCTCGAACAAAACAAAAAAAGGGGCGTCCGTTGTGTCTTTTGCAAGGCTCAAGCTGTCGCTGGATTTGTGCCGTTAGTTTATCCCGTGGCCTAACCTGTTGAACTCCCTTGCCCACTCATCCGTGTCGTATTGTACCGTCGTGTTATCAGCCGGTTCAAGGTTAAATTCCTGCGTATTATGTGTGTTGTTTTTGTGGTGTGGAATTGGGAGCTTTGTGTGGGCGAGACATGCGTCTGGTTGGGTTGGCTCAACTCGCAATCGGCGGTTTCCCAGTTCAAATCCGTGGATGGGGTTTGACTCGGCTCCCATCATCGCTCCGTGGTCGATACAGTCGATACCAATTTGTATGAACGTTAATAGCGGTTATCCTAGGAATATACTCACCTCCGTCATAGGAATGTGGAATTCCCACCACCGGTTCAGGGCTGTAAACCACAGATGACCACCACCACCGCAGAATCAAAGACAGCGCTTTGAAAATCTTGGAAGCTGCACTGGAAAAAAAAGAATCCCTATCACCCAAGAAAATGAGTCTTAAACATTGGTAAATTCCACATTCCAACGGTGGGGCCCGTTGGTTCCACGAGACGAGAATCGTTGCCTTGCCACGCATTTGGGCTGATGCCTGCCGTGGAGAGTCGATCGACGGAGCCAATCCCCAATCAGGACTCGAACTCGCAATTGTCCGATTGGGATTCAGGCGCTCTCACCGCAGCGCCACCAATCCATATTCACATTAAGTGTCTGCAAACATACAGGCTATAATATAAACCACAGACGGTGTAAAAAAAGGTGAGTTAAAAGAGGGAGAAAAAAACCCACATTGATATGAAACGACTGTCACAACACACGATATGCGCTCTAGCAGCAGCTCAGGGTCCCGTACTGACGAGCCAGAGCAATCTCCCCTCCTACCACCCTCCCTCCCTCCCCTGAGCCCACCCGTGCAGCCACCCACCCACCCAGCAGCAGCATCAACCGGCGCAGCTCGCATCAGCAGCAGCAGCACAGCGGAATGAGCGCGCACGGCGCATCTTAATCACCTCGGCTAGCCGGGTCCGCCCGCCAGCTCCGCCCGCCCGCTCGCTCCCCGCGTTCACGTGCACGCATTGTGCCTCCCGTGCGCGCGCGCGCACACACACGCACGTCCACGGCAACCCGCGTGCATCATTGAAGACGCGGAGGAGAGCGCGAGCGAGCGAGAGAGTGAGGGGGACACGGAGAGAGAGGGGGCAAGGGACGAGCGAGAGAGAGGGCTCCGTAAGGCGCCGACTCGCCCGCATCTGGTCAGGCCCGTCTCGTGTGGCTATCGTTTTTCTTTCTCTCTCTCTCTGCTGCAGACGGATTTGGCGAAGGTTAGAAAGTGCAACAGCGCATAGAGGAGTCGGTGGGGGTGGCTCGCATTGCCTCTCTTTCCCTCCCGCGTCTGCCCGGCTCTCCCGTCGCTCGCCGCTGCAAGCGCTCCCGCGCAGTACACGCTGCGTGCGTGCGTCTGTGCGCGCGTGTGAACACACACACACTCAGGCGCGCCACCACGCACACACAACAACAACAACATTCGCTCCCTCTCCGGTCGCTCGCCGAAAGTGGTGGGGGGGGGGGGCATTCCGGTGATGCTGCCCTAAGATAATAAGAGGTGAGCTCCGGCTATTCGGTTGTGGCAGAGAGTGAGTGCAGGACGCGTCGTGCGACCCACCAAGTCCCGGCGCTGTCTCCCCTCCGTCTCTGACCCCCCCCCCCCCCGCTCGACTGCTTCTCTGCCTTTTTTTCTGCGCGTGTGTGTGGGGGTATCTCTTGCGGACCAAGATAAGTGGTTCTTGCCGCAGCGAAATCAGTGTGGTGTACTCTACCGCGCCTTACGGCCAGACAAGAACCCCTTGCATCGCGCCGTCGGGAAAAAGCGAGCGGCATCGTCTGCGCTTCGCGGAGCAGCAGCAGCGGCGGCGGCAGCAAGCAGCAGTTGTCTGGCGGGTGAAAGCTGGCGGGATTATGCGCCGAACCTCGCCTCGGTCGTCACATTGACGCCTCCAGACATCCCATCCCCGCGCTCACTCGCTGCCGGCGGCGGCGGCGGTGGTGTGCACCACCCCGAAGCGCAGCGTCTATCGGGAACGTGCCTAGCGGTGGTGGCGGTGGTGGTGGCGGTGTGCACCACCACGAAGAGCAGCGTCTATCGGGAACGTGCCTAGCGGTGGTGGTGGTGGCGGCTCGCCGCGCGTGTCCGGGCTGCGCGCACCGTCCGCTTTCTCGCCGTTACCACCGTGAACTGGACTTTTGCCATCGCTGCTCGTGAATGACAACACCGTGAATTGAGATTGCGCAGGCAGCAGCAGCAGCGGCGACCACGAATAAGAAGACGACTGAACGAAGCAAGGAGAGGGAGAAAAAAATTGGGCAGCGTGATCGCGTCTGGGACATTGCCGCACACACAGACACAGACAACCGACTCCCACCGCACTGAGTGAGCGATTCGGCGAGCCAGTTGCACCGCCGCTCACTTCACGACTCTTCCGGATGTTGTGATTTGCGCTCCGACAAGTCAGCTGCTATTGCTGCCGCTCTTCCCCGCGTCTCTGCATCGCTCTCCAGACTCTGGTCCCTCGCTTACCTTTCCTTTCACATCTTGTACCCCCCCCCCTCCACCACCACCCGCACCCCCTGGGGCCTCCGCTCCCGAGAACCTAACCCCTGGTCACCCCGTGGACTCCCGCCGCCGTCTTTGACCGCCACTCTCAATCGCTCGGAGATGGCAGCCGGGGTGGCAGCGTGGCTCCCGTTCGCCCGGGCGGCGGCCATCGGGTGGATGCCCGTGGCCACCAGCCCCATGCCCCCAGCTCCGCGCGAGAAGAAGCACCAGGACGAGCTGATGGTGCTCAACGTGAGCGGCCGCCGCTTCCAGACGTGGCGCAACACCATGGAACGGTACCCTGACACCCTGCTGGGCAGCAGCGAGCGCGAGTTCTTCTTCAACGAGGACACCAAGGAGTACTTCTTCGACCGCGACCCGGAGACGTTCAGGCACATCCTGAACTTCTACCGCACGGGCAAGCTGCACTACCCAAGGCACGAGTGCATCATGGCCTACGACGAGGAGCTCGCCTTCTTCGGCATCATCCCCGAGATCATCGGCGACTGCTGCTACGAGGAGTACAAGGACAGGAAGCGAGAGAACCAGGAGAGGATCCAGGACGACATCGACTCGGAGATCAATCCGGACAGCCTGCTGCCGAGGACCAACTCCCGAGAGCGCATGTGGCGCGCCTTCGAGAACCCGCACACGAGCACCCTGGCGCTCGTCTTCTACTACGTGACGGGCTTCTTCATCGCCGTGTCGGTGATCGCCAACGTGGTGGAGACGGTGCCGTGCGGCGCCATGCCGGGCACGGTGCGCGACCTGCCGTGCGGGGAGCGATACGCGCTCGCCTTCTTCTGCCTCGACACGGCGTGCGTCATGATATTCACCGTCGAGTACCTGCTACGCCTCTACGCCGCGCCCAGCCGCTACAAGTTTATACGGAGCGTCATGAGCATCATCGACGTGGTGGCCATCATGCCCTACTACATCGGCCTCGTCATGACGGACAACGAGGACGTAAGCGGCGCCTTTGTGACGCTGCGCGTCTTCCGAGTCTTCCGCATCTTCAAGTTCTCGAGGCACTCGCAGGGGCTGCGCATCCTGGGCTACACCCTCAAGAGCTGCGCCTCCGAGCTCGGCTTCCTGCTCTTCTCGCTCACGATGGCCATCATCATCTTCGCCACGGTCATGTTCTACGCCGAGAAGGGCTCCTCCGCCAGCAAGTTCACGAGCATCCCGGCCGCCTTCTGGTACACCATCGTCACCATGACGACCCTGGGGTGAGTGAGACGAATGCGTCAGACAGCACCCGCAGCACCCCCCCCAGCGAGGTTTCGTGTCTGTCTGCGTGTGGGTTTGGGTGCTCGCTACACAGCACTTGCCCCGACAGTCTGTTGAGACTATACGGTGGGGAGGGGGATCTTTGTCTTGGTGTGTGTGTGTGTGTCTGTGCGCACAAGCAGTCTGCCTGTGTCACACTGTGGGCCACAGGAGGAGTTGGCGCGCCTCGAAGAGAAACAACTTGAATAGTTACCAGTTTCCTTATGCCACATCCAAATCATACATGTTCTCGATTCTCAACAAAACTAACACGTTTCTTTAACTCAGTTGGTTACAAGTTGAATGTCTGATACCAATGATTATGCCAAGCTGATTAGCCCAACCTGTAAGACCCCCACGCGCGCACGAATTGTAAAATGCGATCTTCATTGGCTGGGTCTTCGCGGATTGTCTTTAAAGTTTAATGAGAACCGTCACGTGTAATTACCCCGTGCAAATGCACAATCTTGAAATACAATGCATAACCCCCCCCTCTTTATATGCAATTACTGCTAACCGGAACAACGTGATTGGAAGCATGGTGAGCGCGTGCGTCAACGTGGCCGCGAAGTGAGCACATTCGATGGCTGCAGTCAATCGAGCAGGGCTGTCTGATGCCCGGCCGTGTAAAATCTAGCTGCCCGGCTTACACGTATTCTCTCTCTCACACACACAGACTGCATACGAACAATAATGTCATATGTCCATCAAGGTACAATCTTTTGTTATTACGGATGTATTCGCGCGTCGATGATGTTGGTGATGCACGTTGATATATTCATCACGTGTTCAAGACGCACGCGCGCGCGCGCGCGGCGACTGCTGCTGATGATTGTTGCTGATCGTCGACTGTGAGGTCACGCACGCGCGTGCTAAATCGAACCCCGCCCGAGTTTTGCGGAGTCATTCCACCTTCGCCTGATCGCCCGTTTGGGTGTAAGCGAACCATAGAGCGCGGTTCAGCATGGAAAACCCGCTTTACAATTCACCCACCTGGTGGTGAACGTTCATTAAGCGCGGGGGGGGGGGTGTGGAGGGTTTTTGTGGCACCGTCACTCTGGTGATTTCACGTGTTATGAATTAATAATACAGCTGCGAATACTACCTCTAACACATATGTGTACTTCCCACCGGCAGAGCGCCCCCCCCCCCGTGACCCTCATGCTTCTCATCTTCATCCCATTAGCCGCCTTCCATTCATTCCCGGCTCTGCGTTAATCGATAGCCATTTCAAATGCCACGTCTAATATTATTAGCTGCCTGTCATTGGCTTGTTTCTTTTTTTAAATTCTCCCCTCCCCCCCTTTACTCCTTCTCATCCTTTTGCTGTTTAAATATGCCATTCATTCAATTCGATGCAATGTGAGATGGGGGCGGGTGGCTTTTTGTTGTTATTGTTGTTGTCTGCCTTTGCTGCATTTTCCATTTTTGTTTTTTTGCTCATCCGAGTCGGTGAGTCGCATTCCACCGACTTACCGCGCCTCGCAACAAAGACGCATTCGCATCGTATCAGGGAATGTCGTATGTAGAGCAGAGCAATTACCGCCAAGGACGAATCCAACTGCTGAGTGTATTGCAGGCAGCCGCACTGCACGCACTGACACGCATCGCGTGCGCTATGATGCGTGCGCGATGCACATCAACCCACTGTTATGTAGAGGAGGCTTGTTGGTGTTGTTGATCTGTACACACATCGGAGTATCTATCAAGCAATCTACACGTGTATGTAAAACCCAACCCCATGGTGTGTCTGTACATTTAGCCCATATAAAATATCAAGTCTAGGGCATATGTCAAGAGCATATGGAACGTCCTGTTGATAACACATGCACTCGATTCTATACACACACAATGGATGTATGCATATCTGTATACGTGTAGGAAATGATACAGAAGGCTGAATAATATATTGCAGCATATGCACCACTGAGAAACTATCCGTTACTGTGAAACTGCATGTGCATTTTTGTCTGTGATATAGCATATGCCAAGCAGCCTATGTAAGCAAGGGAGAACGACACAATTGACGTGTGGCCAATAAAATATACGTGAATGAGGGTTATGCCGCACGGAATATCGGATTGGGCTAAATACGGTAATGGGCAATGGGGAAACGCATAAAAGTGTCCACGGCAAGTTTAACTGGAAGGTTGTCTTCAGATTAAATGATGGCTCTCGCTAATCAAAAGAGAGAGGTCTCCTGGCATCCATCCTCGCAACATGCCTGACATCGGTGTGCACCGTGGAATGCTTTGGGTGATGGTTTTTTTTTAAGCCAAACATTTTTTTCTTTCACAAAGGGAATTTTGCAAGGACATTGCATAAAATTGCATACATATTTCACGCTGCTCCATCAACTTTTTCGGATAATGTAATTCATACATCATTAACCCAGCAAGATTCAACCAATGATGGGATTTTTTTTCATACATAACGCAATGTCAAATAGACGTGTAACTCTATTACGGTTTTTTTCACTTTGTGGGGAGAGACAACATTTTTTAAGAATTGCGGTTATCGCAATACTGACTTAAAACGGGATGCACCGTCATTGTGAGAGGCAGCCTCATTACGGTCCAATGCATTTTACAATGCGGCATCTGCTCTTTGTGTTTGACAATCTACAGCCGTGTGGCCTGCGATGGAAAGATGCCGTCCACCAAATGCTCGCACACGATTTACTAACTGGTCTATGGTGAAAGTAACGAGTGAAAAACAACAATAAATCACTTGTCGCATGTTGAATTTTTCAAAGGCATGTTTTAAAATATATACATCGATAAATTATACCCAAATTACCGGCAGTAAAAGGTACAGGTGCAGCACTAAAATTGCTTGCTGTCACCGCTGCTCATTGAAGAACCTCCACTAGAGGGAGCTCTAGGCAGACCCTCCCAGTGGGTATTTGGCCTACTCTTCCAAGTTGGCCAGACGTCTTTGGAGAGGTTGAAGCACCTAGGCTTTACTCCACCGCACACAATCTGCCAATTGCCTACCTACAGTACTGTTAGCTTTAAACGCGTTGAATACAGTTATTATTGGAAACATATTACTCCTGTGCATACAGCAATAGGCTTCATGGGGGCTGGCGTGTAGGTTTTTGAGAAAAAATATGCTGAAAAGTTATAGTATACTTCTAAGTTAGAGTATACTTCATATTAGCGTGAGTGGTTACCGTGTTACAACAACATAAAGTAATATGTCTCGTAACTCTCAGTCTGCGAATGCGTTTAATATCAAGAGCAATAGGTCGTAGCAGCCAACGCCATTGCGGCCACTGCCTTAAAAAAAATCTAAACATATATTTCCCAAATAACATCTCCCAGGCTCTCTTGCTTGTGTGAATATTAAATATAAAAACAACCTATACCCGTTTAACACGTTGGCTTTCGCGATCAATATCGTCTATAATATAGTTTTTTTTGGGGGGTTAGATCACGTAAATATAAATGTGTCATTAAACCGACGACCACCCGACACAGCCAATTAGTAAGGGTTGTCATGTCAACAGAACATGCCAATTCGTTACTAGTACAGCACACTGGTGTGTTGGAGAGCAAATCCACAACATTTACGAAACAGGAGGATTTCTCCACAAATTTGTCTGTTTGCCTGATGATGCTAGTTGTAATACTGGTGAAACGTCGTACTGGGATTGTAAATGTTCTGGATTTGCTCTCCAACACACCGGTGTGCTGTACTAGTAACACAATGGCACGTTCTGTTTATGTGACGAACTTTACTAATTGGCTGTGTCGGGTGGTGGCGGATTTAACGACGCATTTATATTTACGCAATCTAACCCAAAAAACGTCTATTATGAACATATAGCCGCCATGGGCTTCTATTGGGTAGTGTTTTACAGCGCGAGTCAGAACATTCCAAAAACGCAACGCCATTCCCCGCTAACGAGCGGGACCATTGCCCAACACATTAAACTGTAGTACATGTCTCTGTAGAGTGTCGTCGTTAATGTCCAACTGTGGCAACATTTTATTTATATTTCACATTTTTTTCTGCCATCACGTATTTTTATGTACGCGGCGGTTTTCTGTACGTCGGGTTCGTACTACGCTGCACAGTGCTAAGATGTTCGCAATGGAAATGTCTTAAATTTGTACTGCATCCGCTGTTGTCTTCCCCTATGCTTAAAGTCATTTATATTTCACGGAAATCTACTTCGGGACGTAAGCGCAGATTTCCATTCATTCAATCACGTTCGCCCAGTCAGTGCAGTTGCCCCTCACAGCCAGGCAAACGTCCATCGTACAGCTGAGAATTGTGCCACACGTGGAGTTTTTTAACGTGTCGCCTCCATCAATGGCGCCACAGATCTAAACAACTGTAAGAGTTACAACCACATACAACATTTGTGATGGTTTAAATATATATAAATGCATTTTTGCTGAAAATCTGCAAATGTAAGTTTGGCAAGGTTTTAGCCTTGCTATAATCCAATTTAATTTCAGACAGCATGTTTAAGAATCATGTAGTGTACAATATTTGTTTACAGAAGAAAAGTAATGCTTTTATGCTACACAATTAATTTCAAAGGCCTACCACGAGAGTAAATGCAGATTAAATTGAATCTTATTTTTTTTTAAAAAACATGCCGTTCATCATTTAGGTGGCCAAGTGGATCGCACAGGAAGCTTAAGCTTGGGGCGCTGTGAGGCATCACCGCTGAGATCTTGGGTTTGAAGCCACGTGTCCAGAAAAGGGAAAAAAGCCACTTCACATTTTCACAAACGTCGACGTACTCAGTTCAGTCGCCAACAGTTGCCTGAATAAAAAAAAACACAAAAGCATTCCGTGAAATCAGTTAAAGCATCCACAATTCGTTCTAGATTTGAAGCTCCACAATTTTTACCATGCCCAGTTTCATTCGCCAGTGAAATACACACAGCACTTTGGGCATGGAGGTGGTTGATCTCACAGATCACTTCCTATAAAAACTACA